TTTGAGTGTGATAATGCCATTCTGACTGGAGTTAGGTGGTATCTCAGTGTTGGTTTGATTAGCATCTCCTGATGATTAGTGAGGATGAGCATTTCTTCATGTGTTTGTTGGCTGCTCGAATGTCTTCTTTTGTGAAGTGTCTGCTCATGTCTTTTGCCCATTTTATAATGGGATTGTTTGTTTTCTTCTTTTCAGTACGTTTCAGTTCCTTGTAGATCCAGGATGTTAAGGCTTTGTCAGACCTAGAGTTGGCAAATACATTTTCCCAGTCTGTAGGCTGTCTCCCTGCTCTCTTGATGGTTTCTTTGACTTTGCAGAAGCTTGTCAGTTTAATAAGTCTATCTTCTTTCTTAAGTCCTGTGGGTTTCAGGTTTTGTACAGGAATTGGATGCCAGTTCCGATTTCCATGAGAGTATTTCCTTCCTTTTCTAAGGTTCTTATGGTTTGAGTTTTTACATTTAGGTCTCTGATCCATTTGGAGTTAACATTTGTGCATGGGGATAGATAGGGGTCCTGTTTCAATCTTCTGCATGTGGTCAGCCAATTTTCCCAGCACCATTTACTGAATAGGTTCTCCTCTCCCCATTGGTAGGTGGTGGGGGCTTTGTCGAAGATGAGTTGGTTGAGGAATTGAGGTTTTGCTTCTGGAATCTCAATTCTGTTCCATTGATCTATATGCCTGTTCCTGTACCAATACCAAGCTGTTTTGATGATTGTAGCTTTATAGTAAAGTTTGAAATCTGGTATTGTGATACCACCTGCTTTATTTATTTATTTTTTTTTTGCTGAGGATTATTCTGGCTATTCTTGGACGTTTGTGTTTCCATATGAATTCCTGTGTTGTTTTTTCTAGGTCTGAGAAGAATGTTGTTGGTAATTTAATGGATATTGCATTGAATTTGTAGATTGCCTTAGGTAAGATGGACATCTTCAAAATGTTGATTCTTCCAATCCATGAGCATGGGATATTTTTCCACTTGTTCAAGTCAGCTTTGATTTCTTTGAGCAGTGTTTTGTAATTTTCATTGTAAAGGTCTTTCACGTTTCTGGTTAGGAAGATGCCAAGGTATTTCATTTTTTTTGTGGCTATTGTGAATGGAACTGTGTTTTTTATTTGGGTTTCTGTTTGTTTATTATTGGTGTAGAGAAATGCAATTGTCTTTTGTACATTTATTTTGTATCCTGAGATTTTTCCAAAGGCTTTTATCAATGTAAGGAGGCCTTTGACAGATTCTCTTGGGTTTTCAAGGTACACCATCATATCATCTGCATAGAGAGATAACTTGACTTCCTCTTTTCCTATTTGAATACCTCTGATTGCCTCCTCTTCTCTGATTGCTTTAGCCAGGACTTCCAATACTATGTTGAACAGGAGGGGAGAGAGTGGGCATCCTTGTCTAGTTCCAGTTTTCAGGGGAATTGGTTCCAATTTTTGTTCATTTAGGAGTATGCTGGCTGTGGGTTTCTCGTAGATGGCTTTTACTATTTTGAGGTATGTTCCCCGTATGCCTAGATGTTCAAGGGTTTTTATCAAGAAGGGGTGCTGGATTTTATCAAAAGCTTTTTCTGCATCTAGTGATATGATCATGTGGTTTTTGTTTTGACATCTGTTGAAGTATTTAATTACATTTATGGTTTTACGAATGTTGAACCAGGCTTGCATGCCAGGAATGAAGCCTACTTGGTCATGGTGGATGATTTTTGAGATGCATTGCTGAATCCGGTTTGCTAGGATTTTGTTGAGAATTTTAGCATCTATGTTCATCAAAGATATTGGCCTGTAGTTCTCTTTCTTTGTTGGATCTTTACCTGGCTTGGGTATCAATGTGATGTTGGCTTCGTAAAATGATTTGGGAAGAGTTCCATCTTTTTGAATTGCCTGGAATACCTTCAGTAGGATTGGTATCAGCTCCTCCTTGAATGTCTTGTAGAATTCTGCTGGAAAGCCATCTGGACCAGGGCTTTTTTTTTGTAGGAAGTTTTCTTATTACGTGGTCAATTTCCTTGATTGTTATTGGTCTATTTAGGGTCTCAATTTCTTCTTGTTCCAACCTAGGTAGGTTGTGTGATGTCAGAAAGTCTTCCACTTCCTTCTGGTTTTCAAGTTTGTTTCCATACAAGTGTACATAGTAGTCTCTAATGATCTTTTGTATTTCTTCAGGGTCAGATGTGACGTCATCTTTTGTGTTTCTGATTATGCTTATTTGGTTTTTTTCTCATTTTTTCTTGGTCAGTCTAGCTAGAGGACCATCAATCTTGTTTACCCTTTCAAAGAACCAGCTTTTTGTTTCATTGATTTTTTTGTATTATCTTTTTGTCTTCTATGTCCTGGATTTGGGCTTTTATTTTGGTGATCTGGATTCTTCTGCTGAAATTAGGGTTTTTGTGGTCTTGCTTTTCCAGCTTCTTTAGGTGGCTTGTTAGGTTGTCAATTTCTGTTTCATTTTCCTCATGTGTGTTTTTAGGGATATAAATTCCTCTCTTATTACAGCTTTTAAAGCATCCCAGAGATTTTGGTAAGATGTTTATTTTCATTTGTTTCCAGGTATCTTTTGATCTCTATTTTGATGTCGTCATTGACCCAGGAGTTATTTAGCATCATGCTGTTTAGTGTCCATGTCTTTGTGGGTTTTGGGGGGACTTTGTTGGTGTCAATGTTTATTTTTATTCCACTGTGGTCTGAGAAGGTGCATGGTAGAATTTCAGTCTTTTTAAATTTGCTTATACCTGATTTGTGTCCAATTATGTGGTTGATCTTAGAATATGTTCCATGTGGTGATGAGTAGAATGTGTATTCTGTGGTCTTTGGATGGAGTGTTCAATAGATATCAATTAAATCCATTTGGTCCAGAGTCTCATTGAGGTTCCGGATCTCCTTGCTGATTTTTTGTCCTGATGATCTGTCTAAGGTTGTGAGTGGTGTATTAAAGTCCCCAGTTATCATGGTGTTAGAGTCAATGTCTTTCTTTAGTTTTCCTAGAAGTTGCTTTATGAATGTTGGCACACCTATGTTGGGTGCATATATGTTTAGGATAGATATTTCTTGTTGATGGAGTGAACCTTTTATCATTATGTAGTGGCCCTCTGTATCTTTTTTAATTTTTGATAGCTTCAATGGTATTTTGTCTGAAATTAGAATCGCGACTCCTCCTTTCTTTTGTGTTCCATTCGCCTGAAAATTTGTTTCCCATCCTCTTACTTTGAGTCTGTGTATGTCCTTTCTAGTGAGATGGGTCTCTTGAAGGCAGTATATTGTTGCCTAGTGATATTTTATCCATTTTGTCATTCTATGTCTTTTCAGTGGTGCGTTTAGCCCATTCATATTCAGACTAATTATTGAAATGTGAGAGTTCGTCCCTATCATGGAGTTCTTATTGAGTTGTTGTTCTTCCACTTGGTTTTTTCTTTTTTCTTTTTTTTTTTTTTTTTTTTTGTCTTTCTTTTGGTTTTGGGGTTGGTTCGTGTATATTTTATTCTTTTCCCTGGTACTCTTGTGAAGAACGTTGTTCTTTTTTCCTTTTCTTCTGTGTTTAGTACTTGCTTAAGTGTTTCATGTAGAGATGGTTTTGTGGCTGCATAAGTTCTTAGGGATTGGATATCTGGGAAAGATTTTAATTCTCCCTCACTGATGAAGCTTAGCTTGGCCGGGTAGGTTATTCTTGGTTGAAATTGTTTATCCTTTAGGACTTTGAAGATAGGGCTCCAAGCTCTCCTAGCCTGCAGGGTTGCTGCAGATAAATCTGCTGCTATTCTGATTGGTCTTCCATGGTGGGTGATCTGGCCTTTTTCTCTTGCTGCCTTTAGGATTTTTTCTTTTGTGCCTACTTTATTTAGGCGAATTATTATGTGTCTAGGAGTTGGTCTTCTCATTTGTTGTCTTGCGGGGGTTCTCTGAATCTCTTGTGTTTGAATTTTTGTATCACTGATTAGATAAGGGAAATTTTCTTGAATGATCTCGTGGAAAGTTGTCAATGTGGTCTCTGTTCTCTTTCTGCCTCAGGGAGTCCCGATTATCTAGGCTAGGCCTCTTGAGGTAGTCACTCATCTCTTGAAGGTTTTATCTGTCTTTTTGAGTTTATTTTCTGTGTTTTTAAGAGTTTGGGGTTAGTTCTATATTTTGGTCCTCAAGCTCTGAGATTCTT